TCAGACGTGTGCTCTTCCGATCTCCCCAAAACCCCAAAACCCCAAAACCCCGAGGTATTTTTTGAAAAAAAGAGGGCATTTAGGGATTTAGTTAGGATGCAATATTATTAGTCTATAAATTAATAAATATAATAATTTTAGCTATAGTTTGCAAGGCTTATAAGAGTTACTCTACAAATGAGATGAGTAAACTCCACACTTAAGGGAGCCTCATTCAATAAGAGGAGGTAAATTGTTCCTCTGAATAAAAAAATGGGGCTCTTGGGTACCCTTGTGCCCTCTGGGGGCATAAAAATTTTAGCTGCTTTTGTGATTGCTCTTCTTTGGGGGCTTATAACTTAATAAATTAAGGTCCTTGTCTTGACCTTAGAAGGGGCCGCACAGTTCATCAAGGAATGAGGAAAATGTGTGGTCTCCTGAGAAAAACCCTTCGTCCTCATCATCGGTAACCATGTCGTCGCCTCCAATAGATGATTGGAAATCAGTCTTAAGGGAATGCATATTTGAAAGTTTAGGTGAGGGCGCCTGTATCTTAACAGGGGTCTCATAAATGTGCTAGTTAAACTCATTTTAGCCTGTTTATACTTAGTATTACAAGCTGCTGTTCATTATAACTTGGTCAGAAGTCACTTACTGGAAAATTTTGAGTCTTCTGACACCAGAGGGGTCGCTGCAGCAGTTGTTTGATTTATTTGAATCGTTGCTTGTAGCAGCATTCAAAGCCTCTAATAACTTCTCAGGGAAAAATTGAATAGTATAGAGGTGCTTAAACACTTGTACTTCTTCTAGAGACCTGTCCTCATGCTTGAAGAGGCATCTCTTGCCGTAGGGACAGAACAACTTCTCTTGGAAGGTCGTGCATATCTTAGACTTGTACTTGGCATTGATGGGTTGAGATTTTTCAACGAGCTCTTAGTCTCCGTGGGCGAATTGGCATTTGTTTGCGTATCTGCAGACTCCAATCTCAATCCAGTTCTTACACATCTCAGTCTTGTACTTGGTTTTATCGGTCTTTAAAGCTAGGGCCTAGCTCTTCTTGCAGGAGCTGTTGCTCTGGCTCATGGAGCTGTTTCCTGCAATCATGGAGGAATTGGTGCTACTTTCATTCTTGGTTTGGAATTGGACTGGCTGACTTGACTGCAAGTAGTAGTCGCTGGCTTAGGGGAAGCTTTACTGAGCTACGAAGAGGCTGGAAATGTTTTGTTGTTGTTAGATGTGTTGAGCTAATTAAGATCTAACTCCATAAGAGTTCTCGTTTTGGGGTACTTAATGATGAATTTAAGCAATTCCACTGTGATGTGAGCTGTACTAACTGCCCTGGGGGTAGATATTCTTCTGAATCTCAGTAGGGTGAGGGAAGTAAAGAGCTTGTTTGACTTGCTTGATGTCGGAGCCGCTATTCTTCACTCTGTAGGTGTTGGTGATTTCCCCTAGGGGTTGTCTTTTGCGATATGCAGTGCCACTGCTGTGTTGAGATTGACCACTCATCATTTAAATGATGTTTGCGTTTGATTTTAAATTCAAATTATTTGTATTTTAAAAAGGATTCCTTGAATTTTATTCATCAGTTGAAACTAGGGGTTTTGGGGTTTTGGGGTTTTGGGGTTTTGGGGTTTTGGGG